GTGGCATTGCGTTATTTGCTTCTACGTGGTTATGCTAATGCACCTTGGTTACTTGATGTCGAAGTGCGCGTGGTTATTGATTTGAGCAGGGTGGCTTGAAGTATTGCATATGGACCAATATTTGGATGGGGTCACGCATTGTAGCGGAGTTATGTTGAGATATGATCCTTTGTGTTAGGTTTGTGTGTTATATTCTATCGTGTGTGATGGTTTTTTTAGCATTTCGTTGTGGCGGTACTTATTGAGCCTGCGGGACGGTTCTCTCGTTTGAGTCATTTTTCATGATTGAGAACATTTGAATTGTTGTGTATTGGTGCACGGATTGCACGGTTTGTGGATCTGTGTAATATTGGTGTGGCTTGTCAGTAGAGTGAGGTTTTGTTTGATAAGAGGTTTATTACCAGTACTGGGTATGTTTCGAGCAGTATTGTGTTCGGAAATTATTGCTATGAGTATTTGAGTTATGTGGTATATCATGTGATTGCATCTTGGGCTATGGTTATGGCTTGATACAGCTTGTCCAGACCTACACGGTGTGTGGGTGCGATATTCGGGTCTTGTAAGGTTCCGAATATTGGAAATTGGGTTCCAAGGTTTATGGGCTAAGGTTGGATTAAAGATCTTTAGTTGTGTTGCATGGTCGGGCCTATATGGATTAGGGTGACATGGGATCACCCCCGGGTATGTGCATGATAAGGTTACAAGGCAGTTTGATGGCTTTGAAATAACTCTTGGCACGTTCGATGACGAACGTATTTTAAGTGGGGGAGGATGTAACGACCCGACCGGTCGTTTTGAGCATTGGTATTCCGTTCAGCTATTTGAAGTCTTGAGAAGCATCGTATGATGTATTATGACTTGTGTAAATCGTCGGCTTTGGTTTTCAGGTTATTCGGAATCGATTTGGAAGAATGAATTTTATTGTTGAAGCTTTAAGTTGGAAGAGTTGACCAAATTTGACTTTTGTGAATTTTACCCCGGAATGGAGTTTTGATGATTCTGTTAGGTTGGGATGGGGATTTTGGACTCGGGCATATGCCCGGATTTTCATTTGGATGTCTTTAGAAGATTTCGGCACAAATTGGCGAAAGTTAAAAAATTTCAAAGGTTTGGAAAGTTCATAAGTTTGATCGGGAGTTGACTTTGAGGATATCGTTTTCGGATTGTGGTTTCGGGAATTGGAATAACTTCGATATGTCATTTGGGACTTGTGTGCAAAAATTGAGTTCATTTCGAGTTGATTTGATATGTTTCGGCGCGAGTTTTCGAAAGTCGAAAGTTCAAAAGTTCATTAAGTTTGATTTGAGGTGTGATTCATCGTTTCGATGTTGTTATGTGTGATTTGAGGCCTCGAGTGGGTCCGTGTTATGTTATAGGACTTGTTGGTATGTTCGGACCGGGTCCCGAGAGGCTCCGGTTTGTTTCAGATGGATTTGGTTGTGTTGCGCTTGTTTTTTTATGTTTCGACGTCGTTTCTTCAAGCATAAATGGTACCACATTAAGTAAATGAGCTCCAATTTCTATTTTGATTAAATCATTAGATCCGTATAGTAATTACGGAGCCATAGCAAAAAGAATCATCGAATTTGGACATCGTGTGAGGAGTTTATGATCATTTTACTAAGAATTTGGTTACCGCATTTTTCAGATTAATTACGAAATTACCATTGACTTCGTATTTAAAAATCGGTACTATTTGCAAATATTAAAACCAACATATCTCCTTCATTATAAGGTCAAATGGAGTGATTTAAAAGCCTAACTTGACTGGAATTTCACAAGGAATCCATTGGAGGGATTAAAGTGTGTTTCAGGATCGTTTGGCACGAGAATCGCGACAGAACAGCTGGGCAGAAGCATATAAATCAAGGGTTTGTTCATTTGGTCATATTTTGAGTTAAGGAGCTCAGATTTGGACGATTTTTGAAGTGATTTCACCACATGGATTGGAATAAGTGTTCTCTACTTATTTTTTATTATATTTCATGAATCTATATTCGTTTTTGGCAATTGGTTGATGATTTCAAAAGTGAAATTTGGGGGGGGGGGGGGGGGGTTGTCTAAAATTCATAAAGTGAATTTTTGAGTTTTGAACATCGATTTGGAGTCGGATTTGAGTGAAACTAGTATGGTCAGACTCGTAATTGAATAGGTTGTCGGATTTCGTGAGTTTTGTCGGGTTTCGAGGCGCGGGCCCGGGTTTGAGTTTTTGGTCGATTTTGAGATTCTGATTAAAGATTAGACCTTTATCGATTAGGTTTGTTTCCTTTGGAATTATTTGATGTATTTGAGTTTCTTTTGGCTAGTTTTGAGCCAGACGTAGGTCAGTACGCGTGGGATGGCATTTTTGGAGATCGTTTGGCTTGCTCGGTATCGGATTTGGCTTGTTCAAGGTATGTAACACTTCTAAACTTTGTGCTGAGGGTATGAAACCCCAAATTACGTGTTATTTGTTTTGTGTGGAGGTGATGCACATGCTAGGTGACGGGTGCGAGGGCGTTCACCATGTGAATTGTGACTCCGCTATTTCTGTGGTACGTGTAGTTACCTAACCTTACCTGTAACCATGAAATTTCTAAGTACTTGAGCTATTAAACCTTGATCCATGTTAGAAGCCATGTGTAGGCTACATGTTCATTCTGTTGGGACCCATTGAGGTCATTTCTGCTATTGAATAATTTTCTTACGTTGCAATTTCATACTCAGTCATGTTCATTCATTTCATATCATATCTCAGTCTCTGTTGTTATTCATTGACACATCATATCATCATTTTTGGGCTAGTTTCATGGCATTGTGAGCCCAAGAGACTGGAGAGTTTTATGACTGAGTGAGGTCGAGGGCATGATGGTGAGGACATCGAGCGGGCTGCATGCCGCAGCATGTTTTACTGATTTATGCCATGATTGGCTTTTTATAGTGCTTGGGCTGAAGGAGCCCCTCCGGAATCTGTACACACCTCTAGTGAGCGTATATATATGTGGATCGGGTTGCTCGGTGCAACGGGCCTCGTGGCTATATATATGTGAATCAGGTTGCACGCCGCAAAGACCCTTATGGCTAGATATATGTGTATCGGGTTGCACGCCGCAATGGGCCTTATGGCTATATATATATATATATATATATATATTATATATATATTATGTGTGTGTGTGTGTGTGTGTGTGTGTGTGTGTGTGTGTGTGTGTGTGTTGTGTGTGTGGGGGGGGGGAATCAGGTTGCACGCCGCAACGGGACTTATGGATATCTATATGTGGATCGGGTTGCACGCCACAGCAGGTATTGTATAGTGCTGAGTAACTGAGTGTGGTGAGTATTGAGCATGTGAGAGAGAATGCGAGACAGTGAGATTCAGTACTCTAAGAGTGTGAGTACATGAGTTCATCACTGAGATACATTGCATTTGACATGCGCACTTGAGATACATGCTTAGTGATGTATTTCCTTCTGCTACCCGATTTTGGTGACATTCATGATTTTACCTGTATCTTGACATGTAGGCATAGAGATGTACTTTCCTCACACGATCTGAAAATGAAACATCTTATTTATTGTTGAAAGGATTTTTGGGAAAATCAAAGTATTCAAGCTTACTCATATTTTTGGCAATTTCGGTAAAAGATTTGGGTTTTCACTAAGATACTTGAAAAGCATGCCTATTTTCTGGAACTGTGAACGGGCTGAGCATTCTATTTCTGAGATACTTCTTTTATTACTTGCATTATGTTGTTATGAATTGTTGTTGGCTATTGGTGTCGGACCCGACCTTTGTTCAGTCTTGTCACCACTTTCAACCTAAGGTTAGGTTAGTTACTTATTGAGTACATGGGGTCGGTTGTACTCATATAACACTTCTGCACCTTGCGTGCAGATGTTGGATGTTGATGTTGATGCGGTGGACAGAAGCCGGAATTGAAGACGTACCTGTGCTCCGGATGTAGCTGCCTCTTGTTCATGGTAGCCATTGACTTATAAAAATCTGTTTATGTACATTTCGAACAGATGATGTATTTATTTCATACCAACTTTGTAAATTCAGATCTTAGAGGCTCATGATTTGTACTGCCAGTCCTTGGGAAATGTATAAGATTCAGATATTTTCTTTTAATTGTCTTATTAGATTTTATTGGAATTGGGTAGTTGTTAATTGGCTTACCTAGCAGGTTGGGTTAGGTGCCATCACGACTAGTTGAATTTTGGATCGTGACACTTATTGGTACCGTTGTGGTGTACTCATGCTACTCTACTGCACATCTTTATGTGCAGATCCGGGTACTTCTTTTCAGCCACGTCATCAGTGAGCAGTGACAGTTTGGAGACTTCAACGTATATATGTCGCGTCCGTAGACCTCGAGTCCCCTCTATTCCCTCATATGTTATTTACCTTTCCGTACTTTGTCTTAGACTCTGGTGCATAGAGATACTAGTTTTCTTCCGTAGCTTGTGACTTATCGATGTTCCGAGTTTTGGGAATACTGTGTATACTCGAGTGTTGGTTATTGTACATGCTGAGCGGCATTTTTATCGGTTATTTAATTATCTGTTGCAGTTAGTTGTTAAATTTTGTTTTTTCTTCATTTTCGTTATCCCGCAAATGTTAGGCTTACCTAGTCGTAGAGACTAGGTGCCTTCACGATGTCTTTCGGGGGAAGATTTGGGTCGTGACATAATGGTAGGGGTAACCGAATAGTATAATGGAGGTTAAATATAGACAATATCCGAAAGTAAAGGGATATATTTGATCCTTGAGAGAATTTATGTTGACTCCTATGCCACAACCGTTTTCTTGGTGTATATCCATACTTAACCCACGTAATCTTTAACTTTCTCCGCCATATTCGTCTTTTACCATATTCGCTTTTCACCCACGAAATCTTTAACTGTTCGCTCTTGACAGTTGAACATCTCACTCCATAAATCCTGCAGTAATCTCAAGAAACACCATCTCAAATCAATATGGCACCAAAGAAGAGTAACAAAAGAATACCACAGTCACAGCCAAGGAATTGGTAGAAGAAACCATCCAAGTAGTTGTCACACCACTTGCTGACGAAACTCAAGAGAAAGAAAATAAACAACAACAAGAAGAAGAGAAATGGAAGTAAAAGAAACCAAGAAAGAATGAAAAAGAAGGCAAGAAGAGGAAGAAAAAGAAGAGAGACAAAGTAGGATATGGCAGATATATTTATAAGGTAATGAAGCAAGTACATCCAGATATGGGAATATCATCAAAAGCTATGACCATATTGGACAATGTGATGGGAGACATGTTTGAAAGAATTGCACAGGCAGCAGCAACGTTGTCAACGTACGTAGGGAGGACAACGTTTTCGTCGAGGGAGATTCAGGGTGCTGTGAAGATAGTGTTGCCTGGAGAACTTGGGAAACATGGCATTGCTGAAGGAACTAAAGCTGTAGTTAGTTATTTTACTACTGTTGCTGAAGAAAACAAGTCCAAGACTAAGTGAAGTTAACTTTAATTTATAGTGGTGTTAATTATAGGTTTCTTTTACTTTCGGTTTTTCTGCTTTTTGTGTTTCTTTTGTTTACCTTATTAGTGGTTAACTACTTCATGTTTTTTTAGTAGCAGTTTGTCTATCGAAATGTAGTTTGCATCAGTAAATGTAATCCTTTCGTTTTCATGCACGGCAAACAGTAGCGTATCTTAAATTCGTAAAAGTGGCGTGTGACTATGAGTATTATAATTGGACTTGTATGTCAATTGGATCCGGGCTGTACGGGAATTATATTCTAACTAGTAAATTTCTTCGCACGATCATAGAAGTAATTTTACTGAACACTTAATCTTATCTATATCTATCTATACTATATTAAAAGTACGAAGGCCTTTAGTGAAATGTCGTTCGCTTTTTTAATTCTTTATAAGTATATTTTATGTCGGATAAAACTGTAATTATAAACACAAAGAATTGGAAAAACCAAAATTTCAGCAATTAATATCACATTAGGTTTTACTATTATATTATTTTATCAAAGGTCGGTTTTTCATAGTATTAGTGTCATTTTAGGTTTATGATTCTTTTACCAAAGTTGCTCAGCAAGTAATGTTAGTTTATGTTTACTTTTTTTTTTAATGTTTGGTTATAATTGTCGTAGGATACAATTTAAAGCTAATTTTTGTTTTTCAAAATTTTCAAATAAGAATCCAATAAGGAGAAGCAATTAATGTCACTAGGTTTAATATTATTCTACCATAATTGCCGTAAGATACAAAGTCAATTTTTAATGAAGAAATTAATGTCAGTTTAGGTTTAAAATTCTTTTACCAAACTTAGTCAATTTTATTTTCTAGAATTGTAAAATCAAAACCATTTAAAATAAGGAGGAACACTTCTATAAAACGAAGCCAACATTTCATTTTTTTTTTGTCGACGTTTGAAAGATAAATTTGTTTGTGCTTGTCAGTTTTAATTTTTGACTAAAATATTTCATGTATGATTATCAGTTTAAAATTACTTATTTATAATTTTGCATAGGTTTTTAGATCATTGCATTTTGTATCATGCAATGTCAACATTGCAATGTCTGTATTTTTATTGTGTATTATAAAATTTTTAGTTGAAGGTAAGTACATCAGTAGTCAAGTTCCTATTTTTCCTTTAACCTGCTTTGTATGTTTATTCATTTGTTTCTAATGCACTTTGAATCAAAATGAGTCGTGCTGGTGTATTTTTTCATTCTGAATTGTATTTGTGAGATTTTTGGTTATAAAGATATTTTTTGTTATATATACACGTCAAATATCAGTTTATTGTTCCATTTTTTCATGTCGTAAGTTAGATGAACAGTTGATTGGGTCAATCTAAGTTAGTAATTATGATAATAGTTTTATTGTCCACTCTTATATAAGACGAGACTCAACTGGCTTAATTTAAACTATGGTACTTGGTCTTATTATCGTATTTGATTTTATTATAAATTTATTGTATTTGGTTATATATATGCCTGTATAGGTTTTGGACAAAAGGCCTTTTGCAGCATTTAGTAGCTTATATTATTAAGAAATATAGTTTTACACTTTTGGGATAGCATCGTCTAATAATCCTCTTAGGTACAAGAGATTTTACATTTTAATGGGCATATAAGTGAGTAGAGCTGAAGTAAGATATTCTCTCTATATTTCCTTCCAAGAATTCAAAAGGAAGTAACCAAAAAAAAAAGTTGTCATAGGCGACAAATGCTTGAATATAAATTGAGACTTGATATATAATTTAAATATATCTTTTTACTCATAATTTTATAATGATTGAGTTCATCACAATATCAAAAAGATACTTATTTAATTGCAGTTTTTAAAAAAAAAATGTTGATCTAGCTAAATAAGATCAATATTCATCATTTTTTTAAAATTTATATGTTTTTAAAATTTAGTTTATAAACTGAAACACATTATAACATTTTAAAAATTTTGTATTCATCAAGATATGATACACGCACAACGCACGTACGCTAAGACTAGTTTCTATTAAATACAGAAGGAATAAATTACTATCATGTATATATACATTCAAAAGTTATTTTTATCAGACTGTAATAACAGATTTTTGCGTCAAGAATTAATCAAGACCGAAAAATTACATAAGAAATGTAGTAGTATATTTGATTTCAACTATAGTATTCCTCTAAGAGACTTTTTGGGGGGTGAAATTAAAAAATAGCCAGATCTACAAGTGGTAATTGAAAAATAGACACAGTTTCAAAAGTAATCGAAATTTAGCCACTTTTCATGTAAAGATAAATCCGAACGAAAACACTGTTCAAAATCGGAAAAAATATTCCAACATAATATACTGGAGTTCCAGCATAATATACTGGAGTTCCAATATAATATACTGGTCCAGCATAATTACTGAAAGTTCATACACAGGTGCTCCAATCTCCAGTATATTATGTTGGAACTTTTCGTGTGTTGGAATTCCAACATAATATGCTGGAAGTTCATACACAGGTGCATCAGTCTCCAGTATATTATGCTGGAACTTTCCGTGTTGCCGCAGAATAATGGCTATTTTTTAATGACTTTGCAAACGCTGGCAATTTTTCAATTACCAATCCGAAAACAGGCGCCCGTACTATTTTCACACTTTTTTGGGCTAGTCTTTAGATTTTAATTTGTCCCTGAAATTAATAATATTACTGGAATGACCCCAATATGTATAGACGCGTTTAATGAAACAATGCAGACCAAAATACCATACGATTGTGGCAAGAGCAACTAAAATCGGTGAATTGCCTGTGCACTAAGTTATGACAAATTGATAGGACTTTATGTTGTATCTAACCTAGGTATCTTATTGCACAACACACAAAATGTATCAGGTTATAATTTTAAAATTACGAAATAAGAATAAAAAATATATCAGAAGGATCGCAGGCAAGTTATGATAAAACGGTACGGTTTCATGTTTTATTCAAACTACTTATTTTATTCAAATGTGCACGACTATGACAACCCGGTAGGATTTAAAGTGTACGCATTCTACCAATATATTTAAATTGGTTGTCAATTCGACCATGTAGGTATAACCTAGCTCTCACATAATCTAACTTATTTCGGTGCGAGGATATATATTTATATCCGGAGAGCATATATGTCATTTGGCTCGCCTAATAAATACGTATGGCCTATTTTGGTAACAAAGTCAACATCGACGATATTCTTTAAAGACCAACTAGAAGCGGCGCCACGCCGCGCAAATTTTTGCCATGTAAGACCACCCACTCACCATATCGAAAGAGTTTTCGTAGCTTACTATCGGCGGCAGAAGCAAAGGAGATCATGCTCTTTGGTGTTAGAGTCATCAAAGCAATTGGTTCATTCAAAAGTGCTAATCTACTGGCATGAACAACCCAGCTCAAAATTGATAGCGAGCAGCAGCACATCCGACGTTGATATCGGCGGAAATGAAAGCAAAAATGACTAAATAAAATAAAAATTGATATAAAGAAAAAAGACGTGAAAAAGGTAAAATCAAATTATATCTAACGTGGCAGTATGTGGCAAACACATAAGGGGCGAGTGTGTAACACCTTCCACAGTGACTGGTTACATATGTCTCAAGTGGCTGTCGATTAAACTTTAAGTTTGGGGGGGGGCGTAAACTATAATGTGTAAGTGACCTTGGACAATAACAGGACGCAACTTATGCATTTCCCCTAATTTCTTCTGCTACTCGTATGCACAGAACTAGAATACACTAATACTAACATTCATGTTTAACCTTCAGTCTATTTCTAGAAAGAATGCTAACATTTCCAAGTAACATCAAAGACATAACAATTTTTATTAGGCAGTTCTTGCTACCAAAGCCAAACCTCCGTACCATTACACAGTAACTGTAAAGTCATATATAAATGGAGGATCACAGAAAGTATAACTCCAAAGTTACAACACCACAGCTACTGATTTGGTTGCCTCAAATAAACAGGAAAACACCTCACTCTTTGATTTTGCTTTCTTAATACTGAAGAGAAATTGCTCATACATGTAATAACAATGAACAATATCACAAGCTCGAAGGGCCATTATCCGCTTTCATTCATTTGCAGTTGCATCCTCTGGTGGCGCATTGCTTCCATCTAGAAGAGGGAAGAGAGACTGTGAGGCTACAAAACTTAAAGACAGATGATGAAAAAGTAATGGTAACTCAAATTTGACAGTTACACAGCCGATTAACACAATTTCATCTCCGACCCATGATTTTCATTTTAAATCCTCTGATGTTGTCCATAACTTCTTTTTTTTTTTTTTTGCTTACTTTTGAAAGATTTTGAGTTGAAAGAACAATAATTGAAGAAAAAAATGTAAAAGAAAAATGAGGGCATGTATGGTTGTTTTATACAACGTTTGCTATAAAGTACAAAATCCTGCATTAATAGTTAATCTCCGTATAACCAATACAACGTTTGATTTCGAGAAACTCCACATAACTTATGTGGAGTTTAACACCAAAAACTTAACGTTGTATAAACAGTATGGGAATAATTTATACGGGAATTATATGACTAATTTATGCGGGATAGAAGGTGTAATAAGTAATCTGTGTATTGCTAATACACGGATAAGAGCATCTACGACAAAAATGCCCTCACAATAGGTAATAATCCCTAATTAACAATCCCATATCATTTATTAACCATATAACAATCCATGCATATTCATATAACAATCCCCATATTATTAATACTCCACATAAAAATCTTCATATTATTATTCACCAAATCTCCGTATAACAATCCATGCATTAACATCACTGTATAACTAAGCCATCAACCCCCGAATGTTTTGTGCACCTTCCGTCCAAAAAAAAAAGGATAGACCATTTAATTCTCATGGACAGATCTCATTTACTTGAGCTGTAATAGGGTTGTCAATCCCCAAACCAGAAATTTCACGGGAGCAACAGTAAATATATTAAGAAAATCATCTTGCATACCTTCACCCTCAGATGGAGCATAAGGCGACTTGCGGTATCGAGTTTGTTGATTCGTCGGCTAAATTAGAAAAGTTCAGATAGAAACGTCAGAAGTGAATGACAAAGCTCACAAAGGAAATGCTTAACACTCGTGGAATCAAACAGGGCAATCATGTCACTCTCATCCATCTTGAAGTGCAATGTATCACATTTTGTACATCCATACACAAGTCAAAAAGATACCCTAATAGGACATGTTAAACATGCAAAACCACTATCCTGTCCATTGTCAAGGCCTCCTTAACATCAGGTATAAATGTCAATCAAGCAGCCAAAAAAACTAAGATTTTCATCATTTGCAACCCCCCCCCCCCCACCCACCCACAATAAAAAAAAAAACAAAAAAAAAGGAATAAAGAATATATATCATTGTTGAGTCAAAATAAGAACGAAATACATCAGCCCAAGGGTACATCTGGCGCTTCCTTAACAACCCACATTTACCCACACAAAATAAAAACAAAATAGAGTAAAATTAATACAAACAAAGTGCTTTGCAAGCTCTAATGTGCTTTGCAGCAGAAAGGACTAGAGAACGATTAACAAAAGCAGTTCTAGGCAAAAAGAAACGGCATGGAATTGACATGATACCTGCAACTTTGGCCGAAGTGCCTCGAGTGGACCTTTAGGCTTCGCTACACCTTGCTGTGATCATCAACAATCATTAAGGCTTGGGAGATCACCATAATAAAGGTATGGACAAAGAAGAGTCAACTACAATGAAATTGTGCGACTACAGAGAGGAACAGTACCTTTCCAAGAGCCCAATCAGCAGAATCAAAATAAGCACGTTCATGATCCTGACAACCAACAAGGGTTAATTAAAACAGACAGAAGTTGACCACGACATTGGAAGTTCACAGCACAAGCAATCACAAGCAGTGTAGAGACAGTAATGCCATTGGGTTCATTACCTTAGAGATAAGAGGTGGTTTCTTTGGCATAATTCCTCCGTATTTCTTTTTAACAACTTCCTCCTATAATAACAAATGGTAAATATATATGTCAAAATCTTTGTACCATAACTTAAATATAACATGGTAAGCAAAAATCTTGAAGTGAACACAACTTCCTGTTTGGTTGATGGCATTGGCTTTTCTGCTCCATCTATTTGGTCTTTGACATCCTCCATCTCTGACATACTTCTACTGACCTAGTTTACAACAACTGCAATTGCAAGGAAAAATAAAAGGCTTACCCGAAATGAACATTTCAATATAAACCTCCCATTTAAAACAATATACATAGAGTCAGAGATCATTCTTCAAACAGAATCTCACTAATGTAGTCTGGAACTAGCTTTTTGGTAGAGAGGAGGAAAGGGATAAATCATTCACTAGACTTTAAACATATCGTTCTCATGAAAGAGGGATGTATGTGAAGAAACATGAGACATGTGAGACATTTTTCCAAATTCAATTCCTTTGTTTGTGATTCCTGAAATGACATTTCTCTGCAAATGGTCATCTCGGAGATGCGTAAAACACATGCGGAAAACATTTTCTGCTCACATGATCCCTAATGCATCACTGAAAGAACAAAACAACCCCTGATCTCGAGTCAAAACCACAACAGAGGATAATAGCACAACCGCTCATGCTTCAAATTTTGATCTTCACGACCAAAGAAGCAGTGGAAGGTTAAAGTGTGTAATTGAAGATTTTCATGTTTGTCTTAGTTGATTTGTAACCATATCTCCGTTCAGTTACTGTGTGAGACTTATGTAGTAGGACATCATAATTTCTGTAAGTTATGAATTTGTAGTTGCAATGTTTATCCAATAATTCAATAATTTAAAACTGGGTCATTACATACACAAACACAAACAAGGCTAACCAATCCTCCAATGGTAGTAAAATCTTCGCTAGTTTCCTCACGCGTCTAGAGGCTTCACGTATTTCAGGCCTAACCATTTGTGGACATAATAAATCAAAAAGGCATCCAATGGAGAAGGGCCTGCATTTCTAGCCACCATTTTAATCTTCTACCAGGAGTACAATATCAGTCCAAAATAGAGCAGAATTGGATATAAAAGATTTAAATAGCCGGCCCCACTAATTTGGGATTAAAACATAGTCGGTTGACTGATATCAAAACGTAGAATATCATAAAGACTAATGAAAACTCAAAGAGAATCAGATCCCTCCTCCAGAACAGAAAAAGGAAAGGAGTAGAATAAGTCAAAATGCATCATTACATGCAACAAGGACATGAAGTTCTCGGCAATGATTTAGATCAAGCTCAAGTGCCAGTCAGAGTCACTGCTGCAACTAGCAATGTTAAAATACCATATCTATGAATGTGGACATGCATAAATACAAAAATTGACGCATATGCATGTAAGTGTTTTTTTGTTTAATTACCCAGTTCACTCTCTAACAAGAACTCTCTCTTTCCAATTAAATTGTTCTCTTTGTTTTGGAAAAAAAGTTAACTAAATTCAAATAGAATTTAGTCTAGAAGTCAATATAGAGTTAATATTTTGAAGAAATTTGATCTTTTTCTTTGATATATTAGTAGGCTTCACAATACATTTTTGATTATACGGACACAAAAAATAGGTATTGAAAGATATAGGTGAGAAGCTCTTTTTAACAGAAAACTGGACACAATGAGTATGCCTGATTTGGGTTATAAGGAGTAATAATCACAGTGAACAAAACAATAACTCCGTATTATTAGTTACTACTAGAGATAATAGTCAAGCCTAGTAACATCCTAGTATTAAATGGACTAATCTGGATTCAAAAGAAAAATGTTTCAATCGATTTCAACTAGTTAGATTGAAATGGTTACGTCACTTGGATAAGAGACAATTTGGAAGACGAAATGAAGTTTACAAGCCACTTTTTCTCTTTCTTTTTCTAGTGAGTTAACAGTCAAGATCACGAGAACTCGCGAGCCACAATCACATTGGAAAGAGATAGGAATGCCAATCAACTTGTAATAATTAAAGGCACAAGGCCCCCGGCTTCAATCTAGTGGGCTTCAATCAAGTGGTAAAAGTGCAGCACATGATGTGTGGGTTAGGCACACGTCACCGGTTTGAACCCTGCTGCAAACCAAGAGTTTCGACCCAATAGAGGGGCACACCAATCATTCATCTAGTTTCGACCCGTGCGCCACTGGCCCCGGGAATTTCTCCGTTATAAGAAAAATAAAATAAAAATAAAAGACACAAGAACTACAGTGAGAGCAGACACAACGTAATGGGATGTAGGGTGTTAGTTACGAGGTTAAGATGAACCCAATAACTTTGGTGTACCATCTGTTTCAAATTATGGGAGTTACTTTCCCTTTTAGCCTCTTTCTATATTTAGTAACTCTTTAACTCCAACATTCCATATGACATAATTAACCACAAGATTCAAGGAAATTTTGGTACATTAAACACATCTTTTGTTTAAGACCACTAGATTCAAAATTCTTTCTTACTTCTCTCAAACGACGTGCCCGGTAAACTAAGACACATAAAATGAAATGGAGGGAGTATACTAGAATTCACTAAATAAGTACACCTAATTGACTTTGAATCAAATAAATCAAATCCGTAGAACCGATAAAGTTCAAGTTCTGGATCCGCCTCTATGCACTGCAAACCCAATCCACGATTCACATCTTATCATGAAAAAGTCATTACGAAAAAGGATTAGGGTTTTTGAATCGACTTAGACAAACAAGAAACCAATAAGAATTAGGGTCAAAATGTAAGATACCAAAGGAGACAGCAACAAATTCGTAAATACTACAATAACAACAATTTATTGGGGATAAAGAAAGATTTAAAAGAGCAAATATTCAATAAAGAAGAGAAAATATTTAAGGGAGTGAGTGACTTACCAAATCAAAGGAAGCAGAAGAATGGCCAGAGGGGTTTGGATCAAATCGAGAGAGGGAGAAGAAGTTTCAACTGTTAGTGGCCATGTATTTAATAAGGAATCTTTGAATTGATTGATATAAATAAATAAATAAACGTTTTTTCTTTAAAAGCGCGTACGTCAATCAATCATAAATCATACTCTGTTACATTACTGACGCTCCGTGAGTTTTCACCATTTTCACACATTGTTAGATCCCAGGGTATTTTTAGAGTCAGGAAACCAAAATGTTATTTATTTTGGACTACAAAATACAACAAATAGGTAGTAAAAAAAAAAAGTTACCATATTATGTATAACGCCAGAAAACCTGGCGTTATATAATAACGGTAACTGCACCGTTAATATATAGCGTCTGGTTTTTTGGCGTTATACTGACACACTGATATAGCGCCAGAAAACCTGGCGTTATACCCCTCAATAAAAAAACCTCCATCTTCTTCACCCGTCTTCTTCTTCAGCATTATTTTACTCCTCTATCTTGGTCCCCCCACTGTCCAAAAACTGTCCGCCACTAAAAAAAAAAAAAAAAAAAAATTTGGGTCCCCCCGGCACATAAAACTTGAAGAACGTAGGTCCCACACTCGAGTAGAGCTTCTTGTTATTGTTGATTCACGCTTTCGGAGTCAAATTTTCGATCTATTTGCTTTCCGAAAATTCTAAATCGAGGTATTTCGATTTATTTTAAGTTGAAACTTTTATAATAATGCATATTATTTGATTTGTATGTGTTCTATTTCG